CGAGTAATGACATTAGTAACTGTACACGACGTGCTTTCATGACTATCCACGGACAGACAGGCACTCCTGAATGCCCTGGTACGGCCGAGAGTGGGGAGAGTCCGCTCTCCCTCTCGAAATACTCTCACACGGCCACGCGTATACAGCCTCTGCCAGGGAAGTCCTACTCATTGCCTTCTCGTGGCGGGGGTGTTGTTTACGAAAATGAGAGGACGAAAAGCGAATGTCCGGCGCTTTAACCGGATTCCAAATCAATGGTGCACATGGGCTCCAGTATCCTGCGGGAACGAATGGCGTATGAACCAATCGTTGGTCACCGGCTACCATGGGACTGCATCTCCTTACGATGCTCCACTGCCTTGTGGGTTAGACCTTTAGATTAAAGGCTCGGGGAGTGGCCCCCTAAGATAACCACCTGCTTCGGTTTGGGCACCCGGGCAGTATCACAGCCCACACACAAATTGATGAACTCTTTATGCCTATGGAAATTACCTTTCTCGCTTTGAAAAACAAACAATTGATTCAGATTATTATCATTACTACTATTATTGTCATTATTGTTATTATTATTATTTTCCACATTATTCACCCTCTTTTATACTTATACAGCGGCTCGTCTTTGGTGGAAATCCGACTGTATCTAATCGTTCTCCAGTCACTGTCCGGTTGAAAATTGTATGTTACCACCGAATACGAGGACTGAAGCAGTTTTTCTGAAACCACGTGCACCATTCAAACTGGCTGCCTTCAACGTTCGCACATTTATGCAGGTCGGACAACAGATAGGGCTGGCTGTCTTTGGAAAGTCTTAATATTGACGTGTGTTGTCTATCCGAGACCCGTATTCAAGACTCTGGCGAAGTACTACAAATTCGATCTCCATCTGTCGCTTCGAAAAGCTTGTTTTACGTGCGCTTATCCAGGGACCCTGTGGCATCTTCGTCTGGTCTTGCTGACGTTGGTGTCGCACTAAGCGCTAGAGCTGAGGCAGCACTAGTCGATTGGATCCCCATTAACAGTCGGTTATGTGCTGTTAGATTAGAAAGTTCCATCAAAGTGAGAAGAAATCGGCGTGAAAAACGATGTCTTTTCGTCATCTCCGCCTATGCCCCGACAGATTGCAGCCCGGATGCAATCAAGGATGAGTTTTACCACCAGTTATCAGCTCTTCTCCAGAAAGTGCGTTCGACAGATATTGTAGTACTAGCCGGAGACTTGAATGCTCAGGTCGGGCGTCTAGGCACAGAAGAGAGTCGTTTAGGTGGCCGATGGGGACTTGTTGGTCGCAGGTCAGATAACGGGGACCGTCTACTGCAACTGTGCACAGACCACAACCTGTTTCTGGCTAGCACTAACTTTCAGCACAGTCATCGCCGATGTGCCACCTGGCGTCCTCCCTCTGCATCTCAAGCCTGGACTCAGATTGATCACATCGCGATTAGCTACCGCTGGCGTGGTTGTGTACAAGACTGCCGCTCCCTTTGGAGTACCTATCAGGACTCTGACCATGCCTTGGTCTGCGCCAATCTCGCCTTACTTTTCAGTGGACAACGAAGTGACCACCATCAACGGATTGATATTAGCAAGCTGGTTGCAACTTCTGTTGCAAATAAGTATCGAACCGAGCTAGCCTCTAGGCTAGCTACCACTCCACCGAAAAGTATAGATGAGCATTGGTTGCAATTGCATGACGCCATGAAAATGGCGGGTACAGTCAGTTGTGGGTTTGCGAAACGTCCCGCTTTTAAGCACTGGGTTTCTCCAGGTTCCTTACAACTCATTGAAGCCCGTCGGTCTACTCCGGGTGACCGTGAGTTTGACCATAAACGAAGGATGTTACGTAAAGAAATTGGGCAAAGCTTGCGTAAGGACCGAGAAGCCTGGTGGTCGATGCGTGCTAATGAGCTGGAAACAGCAGCTGCATCTGGTAACTACCGGAAGCTCTTCCAGCTCATCCGAGCCACTGGCAGCAAGAAGTCTGGTGTGAGTGAAACAATCTGCGAGGATGATGGGATGCCAATCACTAACATCCATCGACGTCTTGGACGATGGGCAGAATTTTTCGAAGGGCAGTTCAACTGGCCTGCTGCTCCGGCAACATCGGTCAGACTGTCCTGCCCTCCATGGCCGGTGACAACTGATCCACCAAATGAGGAGAAAGTCCGCAAGGAACTCCAACTCTTGAAGCGTTACAAATCACCTGGCCTAGATGACTTACCTCCGGCTCTTTTTAAAGATGGTGGTGACTTTTTGACTAAGGATTGACGACGTTGTTTACAAAGGTTTGGGAACTAGAGAGTGTACCAACGTCATGGAATGAGTCGATAGTTGTCCCTATCTTTAAAAAGGGTTCACGTCGTTCTTGTAACAACTATCGGGGGATAAGTTTACTTCCGATTGCGTCCAAGCTATTGGCTTCCGTCATTCTTCGTAGGTTGTTCAAAACCCGAGAAAGATTGACTCGCGAGGAGCAGGCTGGGTTTCGTTCTGGTCGAGGATGTATTGATCATATCTTCACCCTCCGCCAAATGTTAGAACACCGTCATACTTATCAAAGGCCAACAATCGTAGTGTTTCTTGACATCAGGGCTGCCTTCGATTCGTTGGATAGGACTGTTCTCTTGGATTGTCTATTGAAGAAGGGTGTGCCTGAGAAGTTTATTAACATCCTAAAAGCCCTATATACAAACACCTCAGGCAGAGTGAGGGCATACAACCACCTAACTCCATTGTTCCATTCGAGGAGTGAAGTTAGACAAGGTTGCCCAATCTCACCATTCCTCTTCAACTTTGCCATCGATGACATTCTGGAAACAGCTCTGATGAATGTAAGTAATGGTGGTGTGGATCTGTTGCCTGGAGAAAGACTTCTTGGCCTTGAGTATGCGGACGATATTGTCTTACTGTGCGATAATGCCCAAGGCATGCAATCCGCACTTAATCAGTTGGCAATCAGTGTCCGTAGGTATGGTATGTGCTTTGCACCTTCGAAGTGCAAAGTACTTCTACAAGACTGGCAGGATTACAATCCTGTACTCACCCTGGATGGTGAGCAGATAGACGTAGTTGAGAAGTTCGTGTATCTGGGTAGCTGCATAAGTGCTGGTGGGGGTGTGAGTGATGAGATCAATGCACGAATAGTGAAAGCCAGAGCGGCTTATGCCAATCTGGGCCACCTTTGGCGCCTTCGTGATGTTAGTCTGGCTGTAAAAGGCCGGATCTACAACGCGTCAGTGAGAGCAGTTTTGCTCTATGCTTGTGAAACCTGGCCTCTCCGAGTTGAGGACGTTAGAAGACTCTCTGTGTTCGATCATCGCTGTCTCCGAAGGATTGCTGACATTCAGTGGCAACACCATGTCAGTAATGCAGAGGTTCGGCATCGTGTGTTCGGGCACAGAGATGATAATGCAGTTGGTGTCACCATCTTGAAACACCGACTTCGGTGGCTTGGACATGTTCTCCGAATGTCGTCCCAGAGAATTCCACGTCGTGCATTATTTGCCGACTCTGGGACTGGTTGGAAGAAGCGGAGAGGTGGTCAGTACATGACATGGTGTCGTGGCATGAAAGAAAGCTGCAAAGGGCTGGCTTGCGTTGGTCCTTCACGACTCCCTGGCTGGGGTCCGAGAGATGGTGCAACACAGTGGCTAGAGGCGTTATCAGATATGGCTCAGAATAGAAGCCAGTGGCGATCCTGCTGTAACCTTCTTTTACTTTCTTTATAAAAAGTGGTTGTGTCTCCTTTACCTGAAAGATTTCTTCTGATTGTACCTTGTCGTTCCGTCGTTACTACCACGCTACCTTACTCCAATCTCTTCGTCATTGTTCTCTTTTTCTTTTGCGTTCCTTAGTTTTTTTTTCCTTCTTCTCTTCGAATTCTCATTGTTTTGTGTGGCGCATATATATTGGCGCTCTCTTGTACCAATATTTATGTGTTCAAATAAATAAATCTAATCGTTGTGAACGTCTGAGCTATATGTTGCACCCAAACAGTGGTTGCTGAAATTCAGACGGTTAGACCACGTATTCCAGATACAAAACCCTTGAAGTTATTGTTTGGGAAGTAGCTTTGATGAACGGAATACTTAAGTGAACATTAGAGAACTTGACGTTTATCTCCATTAATTTCATGCAATTACCAGTTTCATGTAATATCATTGTCCTCCTAATGAGGCAGCCATTAGCATATAAGTTCACAAAAGTACGAAATTTTGGTTCAACCTTTAACTTTAAGACTGCCAATTGATACACGGTTCCAGCATCAAAGCAATAAACTTAAATAACACCAACAACTTGGACAAAGTAGCGAAAACTCCAATCATGACACTGGAACAACTAAAACATATGCAACTAATGTCCACCCATTTGGATTATACACGAGTCCTCAGCAAATAGTAGAGAATAAGTGCGACGTTCTAAACGTGACTGAATGAAGTGCCAACCTTTTACTAAGCCCTATATGGTTAAGCAAGTGTCAAACACGTTTAATCTCTCACAACTAGGTTTTATGGCTAAACTAAGTAAAATCGAAGTCCTTGAAGTCACTAACTTCTAGCCTGATCCATGTTAGTAGATGCAGACTACTTGGTTGGGGTCCGCGTGACTATTGTAACCAATGATTGGAGACTCTGAGCGACATGGCTCAGAATCGACTATGGCGTAGGTGTGTACACTATCTATCTTCCCTTAAACTGTTAGGTTAAAATTATTTCGCATCTTTCTCTCTATGAGCTAATTCTTTCTTTCTGTACTATATCCTTACATAAAATCTTTCCTTTATATATTACACTACCGAGTTAACTGCTTCTTTGAATCCGGTGTCCATCTTGCCGTGCTAATGAGGTGTGACAACTTGGACCGATCCATGTATGTGCCTGGTTCTACGTTGTAACTGATTAACATTCGGAACCTAATGAATGAATTAAATTTAAAAAAATATCTCAATAGCTTACTCTTCTATTCAATATGGATCACAAGAATAGGAAACCAAAAGACGAAGTGAAAAAAAACAACCAATTTTATTAGTGCAATGTAAAGTTAGGGCATATTTTTCAATATATTTTGATATTCGAAGCAAAAGAGTTTTAGAATACACTTTTTTTTATAAATAAAACAGAAATATATTTGTGTTAAGTCCATGTAAATCTCGACTTAATCAGAACAACGTAAATTTATAACAAATTAATAATTAAGTACTTTAGTTGTTGTTGTTTTTTTAATAAATTTTGTTCGTAAGGTTTCTCAACAAAATGCGAAGTAGAAAGATTAAGTGAAATAATACCAATAAAGAGTAGTATTATTATTATGAAGCAATTTAAGCAAATTAACCGACTGCTAAACAAATGAACACCATTTTTTTAATCGTCATCACGATCACGTCTCTAAAAGAAAGAATTGATAATATAAATTAGATCTGTTCAATAATTCATTTGAAAATCAAAATATATAGACGCTTTTAATCGAGTGGTAATTATACGTAACGTGACCAGATTGTTAATAACATTTGCTTTGCATTTATTTAGATTGTGTACAAGTTCTTGGTACTTAGTTTTATACAAACATTTTGGAAACCAAGTCACACAATGGGATTATTACTATCATGCAGTAAATTAATTAGTGGAAGTACTAGGTGAAATACAATAAATACCTGTCTAGAACTTTAATCACTTGCAATAATAAGAATATATATAGGCCTATTCATTACTGTATTCTCTAGTGTTAAATGTTGGGAAGTAGACAGAAAACTCTTAAGTTACAGTTCACATTCAAAATATCGTAGAGATATAAAACTAGGAACATACCCTTTTAGAGTTGAGGATTATAAGAAGATGACGGAATATTTCGACAAAATCAATGAACAAATCCAACGTGTGCCTGAAACAGGACAGAAAATAAGCAAAATTGAGAAAAAGTTCAGTGAACGCTTCATGATATTTTACACTGAGTCTTAATACGTAACTTGTTGAACTGTGATAGTCAGGTGAATATCCTATCAGATTATAATGTTGAGTGTATGTTTTATTTCTAAGGCATATATACTGGACCTACATGCACTGATATCCACATGATTGACTTGTAGGTCAGGAATGGCAAATCCAAAACAAACAAGTTTTAGCCTGGTAGATAAGGTATCAATGTTTCATCTCTGCCATTACCATGTCCCAGCTATTGGGACTTTACGGTTTTTGGATTATTTAAACTTCTCTTCAAATGAACTTCCATCATTCGGTATATTGAAAATCTATCAGTTTAGAGCGGTAACCACTTGTAAAAACATAACACTATTATTTTATTTATGGCCTTATCTTACTGAGAGAATTCAGGTTTACACTATGACATGATACTCTAGCAAAGCACTCGGTATCGAACTGAACATAGTTGCAAAATCTCTATATGTAAATGATTCAAATTGAACACTCAAGCTCTTAAACAGGTTGAAATGGAACCAGATACTAGTAACAGGATTTTACTTTATTTCAACGCAGTAACCGGAAGCTGTTGCACACAGAAATTGATACCTGAATGAAAGCGATATTTTGACTACTAATTTTTAAATTTTCGTATTTTGTTTTGATCAATCTATTGATGAGTGGACAAGTTGGCCTTATTATCTTGAATAGAATGTAGGTAGTGCCACGTTGCATTTAGCTTTTCATTGCAATGAATGTCATTTACTATCTTATGCTCTTTATCATGTTAATATTCTCTTTTGCATTGTAACAATCTGGGTAGACAAACATTCGTGTCAGCCTTTGACTGATACTTTGCATTAATCCCGACTCGATATGCAGAGTGCATAGTGTTTGTATGAATTCAATCAGTAGTCGAAGCTCTACCATGTAACTCAATGAACTCACCATACGAAATCAGTATCCCCATTACGACGCTTTTCAACAATTAATTGGGTATCGAAAATCACAAATGCACAAAATATAGCCAATCCAATGTAAAGTTCAGCGTTGTATATGGCCGGAGAACGAATAAATAGGTTCATGAAGCTAAATGTTGTCAGCAAACTGATAGCAGACATCAATCCAGCTATGGAACAAAGAAAAAAATTCCAATGCATCGACACCAAAAAATCGTATTAGTGATAGAACTACAACTTTTTATCTATCTAGTTAAGCTATTATTTAAGTTTTCGTTCATCTGTGATGATAAATATTCACCTCTAGAAGCTTCATCTGTATAGGTTGTAAGCAACTGAGAAAACCCAAACAAACAAAATGAAATTCTGTCATTCTACTCAAAACTTTATTCATACTATTTTGAACATGCGACATTACCAAATATAGATTAATTGTTTCTTTATCACTAGTTACATACTATATAAGTCTTCGCTCATTTTGCATTTTACGGATTTACGCACACGTATGGCACAAAGCCGAGTGGATAAACTTGTATCTAGTAAATGAGTTACTTAAATCCAAATTGTACAGCTAAATGAAATATAGTGGTACCAACGATCAAACACAAACTTACATATGTAAATGTCGCGGAGCAGTAACTCAGTGGTTAACGTGTTTGACTATCAACCAATTCGCAAGTTAAAACTCCGTCCCACTTCGTTTTGGGAAAATAGGCGGCATTACTAGTCATCAAACCTAGATTATAACTCGAAGCTAAATACAAGAATCTGTACCCCAGAGATAAGCAGTAGACTAGATCAGATGTGAACACTAGAAACTGAGACTAAATAATCAAAGTGTGGAGAACAATTTCCTAGCTAATAAATACAATAGTTGTTGATTTTGAAATGACAAAAATAACTGATGAAAGCTAGGATTTAGATTTAACCGATATTTTATTGTCGGAACAACAATAGCACTCACAGTATCACAACTAGCGTGCCTTCGAAGTTAAGGTGTCCATCGTCAGGGGTGACTTTGTGATTACAATATTCAAATAACAAAAAGCACAAACAAATGAATGGATTGAACTTGATATATTACTCAATAAAATCACACATTCGGTTGTAATGTATAGCTTTCGGTCACTCGAAAGTGGAATTCTAGACAGACACTGTTGTGAGATGCCACAGAGTTTGACAGGGCAAGGTCTCTCCTGCTCATTAAATTACAATGAAGGTGATCTGACTCAGTGGTTGGTTTCGATATAAGTTAATCCAATTAAGAACCTTAATTTATGATAGCTTAAAAAAGCGCTAAGCAACACACATTTACTATGACTTAATGAGTTATTGGTTGATGTTTGAATATATTTTAGCACTACAAACAATTCACATAGGGTTTGAGACCAAAATAATCTGTGGTGGGGGGATGTATGAAGTGCCAAATGCAAAATCATATACAAATTCAACACCATTAGACATGAAATACATCAGTATTTGCTATTACACATAATGGTTGGGTTAGAAAACATACAAAACAAGGCAATAAAGTCATCAGTGTAACAAGAAAAAAATACAAACTCACCACCAAGATAGAGGTAATATCGTTTTCGTGTAAACAGTGCTGTTAATGTGAACGAGACGAAAATCAAGGCAGTACCCAAAAGGGCAGTTGGAATAGTATCGGGACTGATTACTGACAAAGCTTGAAGAAGTGGACCAAAACCAATACCTAGAATGAAAACAGGTAACTAGAATCTGCATGATGGGATGAACTAGTCTTATGCATTTAACTGATAAAAACTACCACTCATTCACCACGATTGACGTGACTGCACTTTAATAAATACTGATAAAAAGTTTGAATCCTAAAACTCTGCTATTCTAAGGAAAGCAAATTTGAACAGCTTCTATAAGTTTGTAGAGATCCTTGGTAGGGTCACGGACAATTATTGCTGAGTCTTTTGCTAGGCTGAAATAGTTGGTCGATGCTTCTTGGGTTTTTAATAGCTGTCTGACTAATATCAGTTTGTAATGTAAACTAACAAACAGTTTCGTAGGGAAAGCGACATTGTGCTGCTAGGTGGAATGAAATGACATAGACATGATGATAAGTCGAGTAAGTATGTATCAATGTAGTCTGGACTAATTAAACGCCTATGAACAGCAAACAATTACGCGAGATGAATTAACCTGAATCAGAGGTAAGAAATGAGCTTATGTAGTTCGTGACACGTCAGGAACCAGTTACTTGGAAAGTGATGACTAGAAACTAATCCAAATTAACAGGACCTGCTTGCACTACAAGTCCTTACAAGTAGATGATTGTATCATTTTACTTATATTTGTTGCATTCCCACGTTATCTTAATTCTTTATGAGAAGGTTTAACGGATAACATTGTCGTGTTACGGACTGAAGAAAAACAAGATAGGCAGACTAAAACCACCTTTCAAAACTACACTCAGGACAAGAAACTCTTACCTGTAGAAAAACAGAACAAGAAGAAAGCACCAAGTCTAGAATGAAGGGTTTCTCTTGAGTGTTGTGTGAAATAAATGAACAAAGAGCTTCCAAGGGATAAAATGAATGACAAGACCACCAAAGAAGTTGTAATCGACTAAAAAATGGTGAAAAAAGTATTAATAAAAGTGATTATAGTATTACGAGATGTGATATAATGCACAGATAATTATGACAAAATTTTAGTGGGATTTTGAAAGAGCAAGTGTAACAGACGAAAACAGATATGAATCTAGCTTTTTAAGTCTTGGAACATCCTTCAATTTAGCACTGACGCCACTTACCATTGCTTTCCTTACAAGCAGTTTTATTTGGTTCAAACACAGACCTGCTATAACAAAACCTATGAGGCCTATATCGCTAGTATCTAGAACACTGGATGCATAAATGGACACAATGGTGACTGATTTTAAGTCATACCATCAAGCGTTCCTGACTAGTGGTTATAATAATCGTGTAAGTTTTAATCTGGAAGTCTGCAATTACCCAAACGACTCGCTTTAACAGCTGGTGAATTTGCGGACCAATGCCATAATAATGATAACCATAATCATAATAATAAAAATAATGATAATAATAATATTAATTAGAGTCAGTTCAGTTAGGAAAAATATAGCCAGAAAGAATTCTCTCATTTAGAGGAGTTACGTTTACTTTCACGAACAGAAAGTTACAGCAGGATCGCCACTGGTCTGATAACTTCCCTAACCAGTGTTGCACCTTTTCTAGGACCCCAACTAGAGATTCGTGAATTTACTCATACCAGCCGTTATTGAGGATAGTAGTGCTAGTTAGACATGAGTAATACGCTTCAAATGCAAGACGATGAAGGTTCATGGGTTCATTAACTATGACTTTTCCAAGTAAAACCTCATACGTAGCCTGAGTCACCTACTTTGTAGTGAGGCCGTATGTGAACAGTGTTACGAAAACGCTCATAACTGGACAACTGCAACCTGAATTTTTCTCTACTTTCATGAATTATACTTACATAGAGTTGTCGAAAATCACATTTTAGGGTTGTAAGAAATGACAATATACTTTGAAAACTAGTTATCCCAAGATGACATCAAACATATCCTATCTTACACTGTGAACAAGCTACTCGTGTATATTCGATTTTTCCTCTAATTTACAACTGGTAGGACCACTTTATAGTTTTTTTCGCTTTTCTGCGATGAAATATGTCATCTCAGATGAGCGTACTAAAACCGTTTTTAACATGAACCCTTCGACTAGAAGCTTACGAAAGTACAACAGAGCTAAGCTTAACAGTAGTGCTCAATTGTTTGAGGGTATTTTTTTAAATAAGAACTAAACGGAATACTAACTTAAGTAGAAAAAATGGTAAAGTAGTCAACAAACAGCACTTAAGTTCCTTAATTATTTAGTTGTTCTTGACTCACCAAACTAATCTTAGGTTAGTTTGCATCAACACAGAACCTGGCATAATTGTGAGTCAGTAAAAGTTGCTTTATCATCAGATGAAATTAACAAAAACAGTAAACGAAGTAAAACGTAATAGTAACGAGAAATTAGGTATTGAAAGCATGGTTTGTAAAGATGAAAAACGCATACGCGAACCAATAATGGGACTCGGAATCTACGGCAAGATAAAGCAAACGCATCTGCGTCACTAAGATCGATCCCGAAATGTCGTCAATTGCCTTTAAACGATGACCACTGCTGTATAGATTCAAACCAGACGGACACAGCTCAATCCGACTGTTAGTGACCTCCCTGATTTATGTTAAATCTTGTAATTGATGTCCCAACCTTCACAAATCAGTGGATAACGCTTATGGCCAATCTTCAGAAAAGCTTAATGCCCTAGCTTCATCAACCTAAGACGGCGGCTGTTCTCTGTATACTCTCGCAGGTGGTATGAATTTTATTAATAAAGTCACGACCCACAACATCGCTTTGAGAGTCGTGTTTTAGTTGGTGACATCGTTTATTTTCTGCAGATACTTTGATGGAGGATTAGAAATAATAACTGGACGATTCACCTGTGTCAGTAGTGTCACTTATAGATAAAACGACTGTAGATTTCCCGGTAGCATTGAGCAATAAACGAACTTCAATTATTCGTAAATGCATAGAGTAATTACAGTTTAGACTGTACCACTGTTAATCCAAATAGTTATACTATTACTACACAGATTTACAGCTTTACTACAAAGGACGGATTAGTAAAAGTAACCAGTCTTAGACTTAACTAGTATTTAATATAAACGTAACTCACCTGCAGAAAAGAGTTTATTTGAAATAAGTATGCCCCAACACATGATATTATCATACCAATAGAGAGGGTACTGTATACGTTCTTAAGATGGACTTGAACATTTTTGTCACTAAGGTGGAGTAAAGCCGAGTAAGCACGATAAACTTACAGATCTCGAAAATTAAAAACAGTCCCCAGATTCATCCTCTGGGAATGCGAGTAGCGCGACATAGCCAACGGAATATACGTGTACTAAGAACGAAAGGAGCTTTTTAAAACAAGGGCGTACAAATTTCAACAGCTTCCTCTCACGGTACATTCATATTTCAATATAATTAAACGGGGTTAGTGTAAGCTGATTTATATTTTATTACTAAATATCGGTATTGGAGTGTAACTTCTGTCCTTTGATAATATGTAGTATGATGTGTCAAGATAATATGGCAAAACTATTTGTTGATGATATATGTAGTGTTCAAACAGTTCGAACTATTGTACACCAAAAATAAGTTTACGTTAAATAAGTCTTCATGTTTATAAGCAGTGGATTACTGGTACTTCTAGATAAATAATTAGATAGTGAAACGAACAGCAATGAAACTGTCTCAGTAAATACCTGTTATACACTGTATTGAGAATAAATCAAGTCTCCATTAAGAAGACAAAAATTGAGGCTCGTTCTCTGATTTAATTTTATTGTGTGAAGATAAACGAATCCCCGGAACAAGTGAGTTTTCTGGACCTTTGATAGTTCTGATGGTTCAAATGGTTGTGGACGGAATAGAAGCTTTCGCGTAACGGGCTTCTGTGTCTAGTAGCAGTGGATCACCAATACCTTCAGGCAGGAACCTAGATATATTAACGATAATAGAGGCAAATAAAAATTGATGAACCATAGTAAGATACTATCCTTAGTCTTTAACTCCGCCTGTAGCTCTTCTAGAGTTACTGCCGGTTCTAAGCCCGGATAAAGGAGAAGGGTTGTGCATGAGGTTAGCGACCCCATCCCGTAGAAAACTAACTCGCTAAAAAAACGCTAACCAGAAAAAATAATTCAAACAATTTAAACTCCGCCCTGGGAGTTAAAAGGTCTTCATTTAGAAGAACTATCACGCTTCATGGTGAAAGCCGAGTTCCTTCGGAAGTTACGAGGCTGATGCCTCTTCTGACAGCCAGAACAACATTTTTATAGGTGCATGTAACGTCCAGACAATGTGGGAGACCGGGAAGACCAGTCAAATAGCAATGGAAATGAGGAGATACAACTTAGCAGTACTGGGAATCAGCGAAACCCATTGGACCCAAGCTGGACAACAAAGACTAAATACGGGAGAGATGCTGCTATACTCTAGTCACGAAGAGGACAATGCTCCACACACTCAGGGAGTCGCTCTAATGTTGTCCAAAGTGGCATGAAATGCACTTGTAGGATGGGAATCTCACGGATCCAGAATCATCAAAGCATCATTCAAAACAAAGAAGGAGGGGATCACAATGAATATTATCCAATGTTATGCACCCACCAATGATAGCAACGACGACATTAAAGATCTATTCTATTAGAGGCTGCAATCGGTCATAGAGAAGTGCCGAAGAAAGGACCTCACTATTCTGATGAGAGATCTAAATTCCAAAGTTGGAATAGACAACACCGGATATGAAGATATCATGGGACGACATGGATTGACTGGGAGAGGGCAACGAAAATGGTGAAAGATTTGCAAATATGCGTGCATTCAACAAATTGGTCATAGGAGGCACAATATTTCCACACAAACGTATACACAAAGCTACATGAATCACACCGGATCACACTACAGAGAACCAGATAAATCATATTTGCATCAATAAAAAGTTCCGAAGGACAATGGAAGATGTGAGAACCAGGAGAGGAGCTGACATGGCTTCAGATCACCACCTGGTTGTGGCCAATTTAAGACTGAAGCTAAAGAAGAACTGGACAACTGGACAAACAACACTACAAAAGTTCAATACAGCCTTCCTTCGAGATACTGACAGACTCAATGAATTCAAGATAGCTCTCAACAACAGGTTCCAAGCCTTACAAGACAACTGGAAAAGTATCAAACAAACATTAACTTAAACGTGTCAAGAGGTCCTGGGTCTAAAGAAGCACTATCATACGGAACCAATCTCTATAGTGTAGTGACCCACTTTTATCAGCAGAACGCGATTAGTGTAATGGAAACAGTTATTATTATAACCAATTGTACCAGTGGGTATTTCACTGTACTTTTTTGTTTAACTGTACCAAACACATACATTCTTCCGTTGCGCGCAACCTTGCACGAATTCGGTTACGCTCAGTAACCACACTTGTAACCTGACACGATCTCGGTATTCTTTCGGTACCACGAGATCGCCAACAAATACATCTCGACTGCAGCCATCAACTGCTCTCTGATATTTCGTCTACGGGAGATCTTATCGGTTAACTGGCACGTAGTCTCCCTGTAGTGGTGATCATAGTCAACCGCGACTCGACGCCATACTACAATAGAAACACTGGACAAGATCAAAGAAAGGAAGAACAAGAAGACAGCAATTAACAACAACCGAACACAAACAGGGAAAGTCCAAGCACAAGCTGAATACATAGAAGCAAACAAGCAAGTGAAGAGGAGCATTAGAACCGACAAGAAGAAGTACGTGGAAGAACTAGCAACGACGGCGGAAAAAGCTACAAGAGAAGGAAATATGAGACAGCTTTACGATACAACGAAGAAACTAGCAAGGAAATATAGTAAACCAGAGAGATCGGTCAAAGACAAAGAAGGCAGGACAATCACTGAAATTCAACAACAGTGGAACAGATGGGTTGAATACTTCGAGAAACTCCTGAATAGGCCGGCTTCAATGAACTCACAGGATATCGAAGCAGCTCACGCAGATCTTCCCATATAAGTCAATCCATCAACGACGGAAGAAATTAGAATGGCCATCAGACAAATCAAGAACGGGAAAGCAGCAGGACCCGACAACATACCAGCTGAAGCACTGAAGTCAGACATCGAAGCACATACAAACATGTTTCAATTTCTATTCAAAAAGATTTGGGATGAGGAACAAATGCAGATGCACTGGAAAGAAGGACACCTCATCAAGATTCCAGAGAAAGATTTGAGCATACAATGGACAGCTCAGAACCAATTAGATGATTTGGAATTCGAAGATGACCTAGCCCTCCTATCGCACACAAATAAATGTAAATAAAGACAGCCAGTGTAGCAGCAGTCTCTGCATCAGTAGGCCTCAACATAAACAAGGGAAAAATCAAGGTCCTCAAATTCAAAACGAAGAACAGCGATCCAATCACTTTTGATGGCGAAACTCTGGAAGAGGTAGAATCCTTCACATACCTGGGAAGCATCATTAATGAACAAGGTGGTTCAGATGCAGATGTAAAGGCGAGGATTGGTAAAGCAAGGGCTGCATTCCTACAGTTGAAGAACATATGGAACTAAAAACAACTTTCAACCAATATCAAAGTGAGAATCTTCAGCACGAACGTCAAAACAGTCAGTTCTACTGTAAGGATCTGAAACTTGGTGAACTACAACAACCACCATCAAGAAGGTAAAAGTATTTATAAATAGCTGTCTACGCAAGATACTCAACATCCATTGACCGGATACCATCAGCAACAATCTACTGTGGGAGAGAACAAACCAGCTTCCAGCTGAAGAAGAAACTAGGAAAAGTCGATGGAAATGGATAGGACATACATTACGCAAATCGTCAAACTGCATCATGAGGCAAGCCCTAACTTGGAATCCTGAAGGAAGGCGGAAAAGAGGAAGGCCAAATAAATAGAAGCAGATATGAAAATAATGAATAACACCTGGAAGGAGCTGGAAAGGATTGCCCAGGACAGGGTTGGATGGTGAATGCTGGTGAGAAGTCTATGCTCCTTCACGCGGAGTAACAGGCGTATGTAAGTTAGTAAGTTTTACAACTAGTGACTGCAGACTAGATGGCAGCGTATTATCGACCGGACCAAAGACGCGTAAACACGTGAGAACAACTTAGAGTCATGATTGGTCCTGCTTCCCTGAATAGCCCAGCCAGTTAATTCCAGAACATAAGTCTCAGCCTCTGAGATATGAATCATTATATTTCAATCATACTCTGTTTAAATACCAATCAAGCAAACCACATCGTACCATAAAATAGAAAATAACATTTGTACAATATTTGGCCAACAGAAAAATGACACGTGAAATAAGTATTGACCAGTAGGAAAATGACACTTGTTATAATCTCTTTCTTACAGTTATGACCCAGCTATTACTATTGCTTAGTATTCTCGGACACCAATTCACTCGACAAGTCCCCAAATCAGAACACGGTTGAACAGGAAAGAGATTATATTCCAAACAACAAAGTTAGATGGAAGTAAGATGCACAATAGAGAAAACGTTAGTATATTTATAGTGTTTACATGAGAAGATTCCAGAGTATTCTCCAAGTATCGACTAGTGAGGACTGGATAGGAATTAGCCGATCAGCGTGCACCAAAGCAATCGTGCATTCAGCATGCTATAATCCAGTCTATGTCCCGCTAATACCTCCTCTTTGAGCGAATTCGTAGGGTCTGGTGCTAGGAGGATGCTTACGCTACCTCTTGGGCCGAGACGTACTATTCATTGGACAATGAGCTTCGTTATGTCCACGTTTGTTGCACATCTGACATTTATGCTTCTTAAACTTGCCTTTGTGCTTAATCCTGGTGTCGTACGGCCTATCCGGGTGCATATGGATTCCATTTAGCAATCGGTATTTGTTGTCACGAGATGCTTCCATAGTTACAGCCGCCATATGGGAGGATGGGAGGGTTGTGTTGATTAGCCGGGTTCTAGAACCACTGTAATTGTTAGCTAGTCTCAGCTCTTGTTGAGTCAATATGTTTTTGAGCTTCAAATACTGCTTGATGAAATTCCATCCCCTAATATCAGAGTTAGTGTGGTCAGGGTCCGTATTTTCTGGTACACCTTGCACAACGATATTTCTTCAGCGGAAAAACGTCTCGCGACATTCCTTAGGGATGTTCCGGATGATATTGTGCTCAGAATACGATATGTTAGGCGGTATTTTTACGTTTTCATCTAATTTCAGTAAGTGACTAGCCAGTAGGGTATCCTCTGCGTCGGTAGCGTTAGTGAGTCTTACACGACGTACCCTTGAGTCCTTTTCCCGTGTGAGCCGTGTGACACCCAAAGGCTCTATTTAGGGAAGTTCGAGATTCTTGTTTCACTCTTCCCAGAACATCCTGTCATTTTTGTCCTGCAAACTGAGGGGTAGGTCAGG